TTAGTATTTACCGGGTATTTTGGTTTTAGTTTTTCGTTAAAGTTCTGAACATCATTATATACCGTATAAATATTTATATCATGTAAGACTTCATTACAGAGAGCGTATTCATTCGAGATTTTCTGCTTTAAGCGTGGCTCATTGATGCCATTAATTATATACCGAGCAATTGTATTTTCGGGTACGTTTCCACGAGTACCTATAGACATCATTTTGTAGTAATATTCTTGCGGACTTTCATTAAATTGTCTCTTCGTTTGGGACATTTTGATGTACCATATACGTCTGCTATGTTTTCTGTTGAAGCAAAGTCTTTCAAAAATTTTGTAACAAATTCCGTCCAAGAAAGAAACACTTCTTGCGAATCAACCCAATATTTTGCGTATTCTTGCAACTTTTGTTGCACTGCAAATACTATTGTTTGATCGTCCCAACGATATGTAGTTCGTAACATATGGATGCATTTTATGAACTGATTTAGCATAAGAGATTTGTCGCTTGACGGATTGAACTCGGGCAAAAGAGTTACAATCTTTCTAACGTTTCCATAAGGATTTTGCGCGTGTGGTGGGTAATATGCAATACGACTCCCGTTCATATGTTCATGCCGCATATTACCTATATAACTCGTGCTTGGCACACTACCAACTGGCATGCACCCCAATGCTGCATACTGTGGGTTCGGCCTTGATAGTATGTACGGCTTATAAACTGGCACAGACGTTGTGAAATGATTTAATTGAATCGTTGAATGAATTGAATGATTGAATCGGCATGTAGTTCTTATGTAATGCACAATTATGGTTTATATTATGCGCATTAACCGGAAATGTATTCATTCCCGACGATATTAGCATAAAATTATTTACAGACGTTGACATTATTGGCCTGCATATTTACATTAGGTATCGGCACTCCCATTGTCGTGACCTTGCTTACATTCAACTCTGCCTTAGATTTATTTTCATTCTTACATACTGGAAAAGACATACTTTGTGGCTGAAAATTCTGCTGATTCGTTTGCAGTTCACATAACTTTTTTTCAAGAAATTAACTCTTTCCTTTAACGCGGCTGTATCATTTTGAGCAGTTACGTATGCTTCTTCACCATGATTTTTCTCTAACTGGCGAATTAAATCTTTTTTATTGCCGCTGGTTGGCAATTCTGCGTTTTCACATTTTTCCCGTAAGTCGTTTATTGTTAGACTGCGCAAATTCATCGTTATCGTTTTGTAAGGTTAATCCCACTTCTGAAATTGTCAAAGACGGCTTTTATTTTCGTAAAAAGAAAAAAATTACATTTCTATTTTAAGGAAAAACACACGTTGCTTTTCTTTCTTAAAAAAAAAAACTCTGTCTCGCGAGCACACTACACTAAGGTGCGATTCATACTGACATGATTACACATAAAAGTGTTTGGAAAAACATAAACGTCAATTCACGAATATGTTCGAAAATAGTTTGTGTTAAGGGTGACACTCCTATTAATTGCCTTTTTAAGTTCAAATCTGCTCTCTAGGTATTTTTGTAGAAGCCTTCCTGTATCTACTCCAGATCTGTGGCGTTGAAACTGCCTCAAGGAGGCAAGGCATTGAAATCTTAGTAAAGAAATTTCTTCCGTCCACCAATAGTTAGGTGCGCGCCCATTACTTCTGCCTTTTCTTGACATTGATGCATCGCAGATGTTGCATAGTTTCTTCGTAAGGTAACTTGATTTTTCAAAAGCATCCCCGACTCCGAAACTCATGTTTCGGTCATGAATTCCATCAATGCATTGTCGAGATATTTAGTTTTCTAACCTATTTGTTGTGCTTTTCTCTGCGATTTTTTAAAACAAACTTCTCTCTCAACGATATAGAAAAGCAAATGGCATTGTGTTCGCTGTGGATGTAGTGGTTTATTACTTTCCATTGCGAACATTGATGACTGGCTGGCAAAGGTGAGATTTATATAGGATACGCCTCTACCAATATTGAACGTTGGGCTATGCCCATTGTTCAGTTGTGTTAGGTTTAGTGAGGTGAACGTCTCTAATAGGGCTCCACCTCGGCGCGTAGTAATAGTACTGCCCCATTCGACTACGCCAGCACTGAAATCCACTGCAACAATGATGGGAGTTTTATTTCTGACTGTTGCTGATAGCCTATCAAGAAAGTCTTCAAATCTCTCTTAGGAGATATTTGGGAATATGTAGCAGCTGCACACGTAGATACCTCGGATTCTATCAAGTACTAGACCTTCCTTTTGTACCAGTACGCTTGGTTTAAACATTATCTCCTGTCTTAGCCAAATGGCTGCCTTTACAGAAGTATCTTGTACCCATTTGGAGGTTTCTTTTGATTTGTAAAATTCACTAAATATGAGTACATCCGATTTTAATTCCTCACATCGATTTAAGTTCAATTGCAGATATTTAATCATTTTTTGGACTTAAGCTCCTGCATAACTTTCGTGAAGGATTCACATTTGAAACTTCTTGAATAGTGTTGATTACCACCCTTGTAGCACGTTTTTGCCCTATCACCATCTTCTCCACATCTCATACATGTGCTTTATCTATTATTATCGCTTTTGCTGTGTCTAGCAGCATGCCCAAATTGAAGGCATTTAAAACACCTCAAGGGTACAATATGCTTTCTGATCCTGCTGCGCACCCTGGATTTATATTTGGTTTTTTACGATTATGCTCTGTGTGTTGAAATTATGACTCGTTCTTCTAATTTATTTTAAATTTGATTTTTGATGAAATTTTTTACTGTCTTTGTACAAAAGTATGAAGTTTGCCTAATGTAGGGTAAGTTAGCACAGTCAGTTGCGCAACCATAGTTGTTGTTAGTTTAAATGCCATTAATATGTTCAATAGTAAAGACAGTAATATGCCCTATAGTAGCAATGATAATATGAAGTATAAAAACTAACACTACATTGTTTAATAATTAATTATAGTTTGTTCTGTAACACAACACAAACACAACATAATACAACACAAAGCATCAATAAAAAAACAACACAAAAATAATAAAAGTTTTAAGACAATTAATACAATCCACCACTAAAAAGCTTATAATAAAACAAACAATAAAAAAATTGCATAGGCTAATTTTGTGAACAAAATTCTGTTGAAGCCACAAGAACAAAACGATAGTCCACGTAACACTTTTCGACTACAAAAGACGAAGCAAGAATGCAATCGAGACAGTTACCAGTTCGACTTCTCCCCTACGCTCTGCAGTATGGCCCACAAATTTTTGTCCACCTTTCAGGTTCGAGTCGGTTGCTCTCTGTCCTGTGATTACCCCATCGACGCCAGTGTTCCCAAGGGCTCTGTTCTTGGACCCCTTCTTTTAAACGTATTTATAGCAGACATCCCTCTCCCGCGGGCCCCTGTTAAGCAAATCTGCTTCGTCGGTGACTGCCTTGTCTCCATGCGGTCCCTCTTCGAATATTATACCAAGTGAAAGATTAAACTCAACCTCTCCAAGATATCTGCTATTGCCTTTCTCGGCCAGTAGAGTAATAACGCCAGAGGGTTTAGCACTAACACTAGGCTCAGGCTTAACAACTCTCCCATTCAGCTTGTTCCTGACTGTGTTGTTGCTGTACGTACATTTTGGTCAGTAAAGACCGGCAACTTATTGTTTTTTTGCCTTATATTGTTGACCGCATTAAAACAAAATATATAACAATTTAGATTTACTGTCAGGTTTAGATTGACTGTCAAGCTTGCGTTTCGACATATTCACTTTTAACTTTTGTTCCAAGAAAATAAACTAAATATATCTACTAAAAAGTGTATATCCTACTTATTATTTATTTTTACGATGTGGTGATTTAAATGAAAAAAAAAATAATATATGTTCACGAGGATTTATTCATAACATTATATTCCTATAACTTATATAATAATAATAAACTAAATATTTAATTACATTTACGTTAAAGTATTTATTTTAAAGAAATATTAGTTTATGTACAATATTTACTAGTTAATTAGTAAACATTCTTAAGCATTGACAGACGGGAGCTAAATTATCATTAAGGGGTTAAATTATAATTTATTTATTCATTTAGCAGTTTTAAATGATCATTTGTGGTCTTTAAATGGCCGAATTTAACCCAATTTATTCGTCACTTAGGTTTTTAGAAATGGTAATGCTGCATATGCAAGTGAAACGAAATAAAAAATGGAACAAACTTCAAGCTATTTGATTGTCAAAATGTATACAAAACATATTTGGAAACATTGGTAAATGTAAGTACTTGTTATATTTTTACATATTTTATATTTTTTTTATATATTTTATATTTAATTAAAGCAAGTTTCTTTAATTTTTCTTGCTTATCCATTTTGAATTTAAAATTCTTTCTTTTGCTTTTTCAATAACAAAAAACATATGATACAGCAACTTCTTAATGATAATTTATACCGTCTGTCAGGGTATTTTTAAAATGATCATTTAAGGCTACTTAATGATAATTTATTGCGCTCGTCTGTCAATGCTATTAGTGTTGCAAATAGGAATAATTTCATTTATTGTAAAAATTATTAGTTGTATACAATACATATTTGTTAGGGTTATAGAGTGAACAAAGGCTCAAGCAATCTAGTGAATAAATTCAAGTTACACCAGCAATAACAATTCACAATTATATTCCCCAGCGACAAACTGGTGAATACACTAGTACTGAAGAGTAACATGCACAAACTGAAGCCGGTAACAACAACTCAATGTAAAATTCTCTAGTTGAATATATATAAACTAAACTTAAGATCGATTAACGCTATATATTTTTTTAATTATTAATATTAACAGGTACTGTTGGTTGTGCTGGAATAAACAATAAACAATTTTTGACAATATTAAGTATTTTATCTCCAATTTGAGCCATTTAATTAACTTAGTCTGAAATCAAAATCGACTTTTTTATATGTACTTATCACATTATTTATGAAGGGTATATCAATATATATGTATGATTCTTAAGATTAATGAACATACCATTCTTATCAGAATTGTGTTTTTGGTTGGTCCATTGTTTGCCTGGCATTCCTTTAAGTAAATTTTGTTATTTAATTCAGCAACTTAGAAATGCTTCATCTATTGAAGTTTCCAGAAAAAAGTGACTATCAGTATCCAAACCCTGTCGAACCATGACCAGTCATTGATGGTGTGACACTACTAACTATACCTAATTGTGTTGTTGCATTATTTGATTGTCAGTGTTGTGCAGCAAATTTCATACGTTTTTGTTTTTGCCTTTGATTGCAGAACCATACACGCACTACGTTTTTCTTTAAGTCCAACTTCTCAGCAATAGCAGCAATTTTTTCTCCAGAAGGCCTCGGTTGTACAGCAAAGTAAGCTTCCAGTGATCGTTTTTCAGGAGCCGCAATGGAAGTCCTTTTTCTTGAAAAAAGGCTCGATATAGATTACTTTACATATGTATATATTCATTTTTGAACTTGACTTCTGGTATATAATGCTTAAAAACCTGAATATGTAAAAATTTCGGAAAAAGTTACAAAAGTAGGAACTGAATATGTTATAGATTCTTTTGGAGTGTATGTAAATGTCTTAAGTTTTTTCACTTATAGTGTGAACCGTTGTAGTAAAATGTGGATCTGCGAAAAATAGACCTGTTTCATTTCGTGAAAATTGGAAGCACCGATAGATATTCTATCTACTAAAATGTCGCATACATAAATTAAAACGAATAATAAATTACTTACTAAGTAATTTCGGCCTCTAGCTACCTTCACCACTTCAAACTTGAAGTTATAACATATTTGCTTTATTTTTCTGTTTTTTATAATTTTTTGGCTTTTTTTATTTTCTGAAATGTAGGAAAAATTAGTGGAACTCCAATTTTCGCAAAACAAGAACAGCTCACATACACATACTAAGTTAACTACTTTATATATACAAGCTTTACAAAAGATTATAAAAACTGTTTCAAATCATATTTGCGGTTGTATCATAATTTAAAATAACTCCACAAACTTTAATAGATGAAATAAAATTCAGTCAATGTCCTGTTAGAGGCATACTGATTTCATGAATGAATACAAATATGTTTTGCGGTTCACTATTAACCAATAACACACAGTGTAAGAAAATTTATCTAATGCTGGATTCACACGAGAGATTAGATTTTAATTTTATCTGTCAAAAATTTTAAAATGACTTTTGAAATCAAAAAGTAAAAATATTGATTCAGACGACGTATCATTGTAATTTTATTGTCAGATTTATTATATATTCACACTTTGTACCCATTTTCATAAAATATTTACTACGCACATATGATATATACATGTGTTAATTAACATATTTGCTTCATTTTGAATGAAAATTTTATTCACTCTTCAAAACTGTTCACAACAGCACAAGTTTGTACTGCACAATTCTGTACTACGGGGAACTGTTCCAGTTAAAATAAACTTGATTTTGTAGAAATTACGATTCATTTCTATATTTAACTGTCAAGATTTCCATTCTTAATTAAATTTGTTTCGCTACCGAAATCACGAATAATTTGAAATAACAGCTAAAATTACAATCGAAATTCTCGTATGAATTCAATATAATTGGTCAGATATATATGAATGTATATATTTGGTATTGTATTGTTATTTTGTATTGATTCTGTTTATTGATTTAAATTAACTACAAAAATTAATATAGGAACGAATAATTTTATATCGTTGAGCTCATTCATAAAACGTGTGTTCATAACTTTGAGCAAAAAGTGAAACTGAACTGTGAATTAGTATAATAAAGAACGGACAGATCGATAAGCAAGCATTCTAATATATCCATAAATAGACGATGACCAGATTTAGTCTTCGCTTGATTTAGAGTACTTACTCCTATTTATGCCTTATAATGTTTTACAAAAATATTGAAAACCCTTTTGATACAATATAGGATGAAAATCTTATTTCAGGAAATAAGTTTTTCTTCAGGTGTTTGTGGATTTTGTACGTGTAGATGTATAACAATGTTTTTATTACATTTTATATGAAGACATGGCTCTTAATTATTATTTCAATGACATATGGTTAAATTAAAGAGATTGAAAAATATGTTTTTTTGCAAACAGTAATGAATATTGCCAATAAATAAAACTTTGTGTACCTTTTCTTTTCACCTGTTGGAAGAACACTAGGAGCATCCGGATCTCTTCTTTTGTTTTTAGCTTGTGCTTCCGCTTCCTCCAGCCATGCCTGTAAAATTGGCTTAAGAGCAATCATATTATTATGCGATAGCGTTAGGCTTTCGAAACGACATATTGTACTCTGAGAAAGTGCTCCAACTCCAGGTAACTTTAGATTTGCTAAAGCCTTTCCAACATCAGCTTGAGTGACACCTTAAATGAATAGCATAATAATAAATTTCTAATTATAGTAACATAAAATATTGTAGAAAATATGATAGTCTATTGCATCATGAAAGGTCATTGAATAATTATTACAAATAAAAAAACAGTCACTGTCCTTTATTAAATTTCACTACATCAAACAAATTTATCGAGTGTTAAATAACTGCTTCTTTTATAAAAACCATTAGAAGAATTAAGTATGTTGTCAGAAATTGTAATTATAAAATCTTATATACATACACTTTTTTAATTGTCACTTATGTTACGTCTTCAGTGCATTGATAATCATAACAGTTTGTATGTAATATATACAGTAGGGTGGTTCGAAAAAAAGTTTTTTTTAACCAAAACAATGATATATTACCGTAGTATATTGTTTGAACTATCAGAAATGTAAATACCATAAAACGTCAGTCATATTATGATATATACCAATCTTACATATACTGAATATATTCGAAATTGTCTGGTTTCCCTAACTTCATTTATGCACATTTCACTCACTTTTTGAATACAAAACGACTCAGATCCCACCACGAGTATATGCTTGCACTTCGAGATTCATCCATACCCTACCCAATCAACAATAGATAGAGTGTTATAGACTCTCTACAATAGAGTGGGTTATTAATTTCTTTACATTTCACATCTAATCACACAGCTGCCCATACGAATAAAGTTAAGACTTTACTGAAGTTCTAGTTTAATAAACTTGTAATCTGATTTGTACGAAAAATCACGCACGTTCAATCTTGATAAGTGTGTTGCTCTGATTGAACTATGCTTTGCACTTTGCAAAAATTAGCAGTACTTATGTGACACATCAAGAACAATTTCCAGAGAATATTAACGTTGCACATTGTCAGCAAATACTGAGGTTTATTTGCAACTACCTTTTTTAGAACTTCAGCTGGGATCCCAAATAGTACGGTGTTTCGATGTTTTTTGGCTTCAACTCTAAGTTCTTCCTCCATGAAAATTTCGATGTCATCTGAGTGAACTTGTGCGGCGTTTTTAACACTTCTAACATTGTAGTTTGAAAAAAAAATTGTGTATTTATAATTTCGTTCATTTTTCCCTATTCCAAGTAATAGATTCTACTTTCACGCCTAATGTCTTTGTGATTATATTCATTCCCAACTTACTGATCTCGATTGAAGTCATTTTGCATTTTATGCTATAGAGTTCAATACGATTATTTCATTATTTCGCAAGTTTCAAATAATGAACTAATAAAAGTTATTTTTACAGACCACTTATGATGGACAAATCTTGATTTTGATAATATTCAATGCTCTTTAAACATGATTGCAATTTGAAGTATGTAAGGTCTTAGTAGTATGTAATGCTAGCAGCACAGAAGCTGCTTCTATTGACATTGATGGAGTTGGTCTCTATTATGAACAGTCAGGGGCTATCATTATCAATGACTGCATAAATGAGATCAGTTTACATGACCATAAGGGTTTTGTAAAATGAACTCAATGCAGTTAAGAGATTTCACGCTTATATGAGCCAAGGACACTAGAAATTTTATTTCTAATATTTTATTTTTGACATCTGAAAAGTGCGCACAAAATAAATCACTCCGCAGCTTTTAATGTTTTTTTATTACCCAATGGAATACAGTGATCATAAATTTAATTAAGTCAATTGAGACAGTGACTCTAAATAAAAATCGAATAAAATTGTGCCCGATTTTAAAAGATAAGTGAACCTTTTGTATAATTAAAACAATTGTTTTTTATCAAAAAAAAAAAGGTCAACTTTGCAAAATTAATTTGTTTTGAATTTCTATATTAATATTTTTCCACACACATCTTAAACAGCTGGTAGAGACAGCATTCGAGTATAGAGCTTAAAAGCTTCACATAAATAAAAAGAAGACGTGTTGTAAATTGATTCAGAAATTATACCAATTACAAATCGCTTATTGTGTAATTTATTAATAAAATTTTTTCTGTTTAATTTTTTTTTTTTTATTTTGTATTTTTATATAAAGCGACTGAACAAATAAAATTTAATAATAATAATTCATGCCTATAAATAGAACACCGCCTCCGGTAAAAGAAGGCGGTACACACCAACTAAAAAGTGATAATTCGCCAGCAGATGTTGGAACTAAACAAGAACATAGTTTAGCAGAAAAAATGAATAAACAAAATAAAGACATTTCGAATTTACTGAAGGTTTCTCAACGAGAACGATCAGGATCTATGAGCGGAATCCATAACGCTAAAATCGATATTCCACCTTATGATATTAAATCGTACAGAAAAGAAGAATGGAACGAAGTTAAAGCGAATACAAACAACCAAATAAGTGCGATCACACAGACTGGTTTGGATCGCTACATTAATATTAAAAGAAAATTGAACTCACAAAAAATGAAAAGCCGCGCTGGCTTTGAAAATTATGACAAAGGCTATACATCAGAAATAAAAACTTTCCGTCCCTCACCAATTTACTTTCATGAAAAGTGATCAAATATTCTTGTGAACAATCTTTTTAAATTAATTGACTCCAAGTTTTTTTTATGTTACTCCTCTTAAAAAAGGTGCAATTGATAAAACGAAGATACAAACTGAAACCGAAAACCAGTTCCGTAAGATTAACGCTTATCTAAAGGAAAAATCCAAAAATTTTTATACTTACTAGTTCAAAACTAGCAAGGTAATAGCAGTAGTTGTTAAAGGTATTGAACCGAATGCCGACACTAAGAAATAAAAATAGGTATTGAAAATGCTGGCTTTGAGGTAAAATCGGTTTTTAACATAAAAAACAAAGATAAATTTCCTTAATCTTTATATAAAATCGAATTAGAACCAAATACTAAAAAATTAAAAAATAACGATTTTCATCCAATTTACCACTTGCGTTTTTTAATAAATCGTAAGATAACAGTTGAGGAGCCTCATAAACGCAAAACTCCAGTTCTAAACTGTCAGGAATTTGGGCATACTAAAAGTTATTGTACTCTGCGTAAGCTTTGTGTGGCCTGAGGTGGTGCTCACCACTCAACTCAATAGAGTACAGATAAAAATAACATACATTTCAGAAAATGTAATAACGGTGGTGGTAATCATACTGCAAACTACCGTGGCTGTCCAATTTATATCGAAGTTAAGAATAAAGCTACCCAACGCTGTAAAAAGGTGCCAAACGCTTCATTCATAATCCAACAAAATCCAGTCAATATCAACCAAACAATCACAAAAAAAATTGATACAGCTAATTCATACTCAGCCGTCTTAAAAAATCGTTTAGTTAAACAAATTCTTGAAAATTCAATAACCTCCAATCAAAACTTAGAATCAATGCTAATAACTCTTGCTCAACTAATGATGAACTTTATGGCCTCAAAAATTATTGCAAGATATAGTAAAAACTTAATATCAAATGATGCAGTTTCTTTCAGCTAATAATGAACTGTCTTACAATGTGTCACTGGCACACACTTGAAGTCATAAACTTTCTATTGTCCCACAATATTGATGTTCTTCTAATATCTGAATCACATCTATGTAGCCAACACAATTTCTCTGTACCTGGATTCAATTTCAACTTCACAAACCATCCTGAAGATAAGCCTCACGGGGGAACAGGAATTCTAATTAATTTAAGAATTAATCACTATGTCCTAGAACAGCACTCTACAGCCCACATTCAAGCTACGTCAATATGTTTAAATTTCATTGAAAATGAAGTCGTGCTGTCTACTGTCCTCCTAGATTTCCTGTAACCGAAGCTCAATTCGTGGATTTCTTCCATAATCTCGGTAAAAAATTTATAGCAGCGGGAGACATTAACGCCAAACATACATATAGGGGTTCTCGTCTAATAAACCCAAAAGGAAAGCAACTCTACTCTACACTTACAAATCGCTGCAACAATTTAGATTTCATATCATCAGGTCAACCCACTTACTGGCCACCTGACTCCAAAAAATTCCAGATCTAATCGAGTTTTGTACCATATAGTGAAAAACATTGACCGTGAACTAATAACTGCGCACTCTAGCTTCGAACTATCATCCGATCACTCTCCAGTTATTATAAACTTATTCAAAACACCTAAAAATAACCAAAGTGCATCAAAACTGACGTCAAAGTAAATTCAAGTTTTTGGCAGCTAAACAACGCCTGAAAAAAGCATTGCTCATACAGATGGATAATAGTTTGAACACTTACGTACGAAAGTTAACACCTACAGAAAGTACGAACTATTCCCTATGGCGTTCGGTAAGAAAATTAAAAACACCTAAGAAGAGTGTATCACTGCTCAGGCAAGCCGACGGCAAATGGGCAAGGGATGAAGTAGATAAAGCAAATGTGTTCGCAGACCACTTAAGCCAGGTATTTCAACCAAATCCGACTAATAACTCTTCCCTAGCGATTTAATCTCCTCTAGTCAGATAGGGGCGTTTCAAACTTAAAACCAAACAGATCCAGCATGTTGCAAAAACCCAATTATGTGTCAACAAGTCCCCGGGATGTAACCACATTTCAGCAAAAATGCTAATAGAATTACCTCAAATAGCTTTCAAAATAATGACAAAAATATTTATCGCAATACTTCGACTTGGGTACTTTCCTCTACGTTGGAAAATTTCACAAATCATAATGATTCCTAAACCAGGAAAAAACTTAAAATTACCGTCTTCATATAGACCCATAAGTCTTTTACTAATGATATCGAAACTTTTTGATCGAATGCTTCTCGAGAAGATAACAACATATCTACAGCAAAACAACATAATATCTCACCAATAATTTGGATTTCATGCCAAACATGGCACCAAATGAGATTAAGAAAGCATTTGAAGATAAAAAATTCTGCTCTGCTATATTTCTCGATATAGCCCAAGCTTTTCACAAGGTTTGGCACGCTGAACTTATTTATAAAATCAAGAAACACACTCCTGACTACATTTACAAAATACTAGAGTCATATCTTCAGGACAGGAAATTTCATATAAAAGTTGGATGCCATACAACAGCTAATCTCGACATAAAGGCTGGAGTTCCTCAAGGCAGTGTTCTAGGTCCTATACTATATATTCTGTTTACTTCGAATATACCAAACAACTCTCGTCTTGTGACTTCTGCTTTTGCTGATGACACTGCTATCCTTAGTTCTCATTAAAATAGATTCATAGCATCTAGGGACTTAATTGAACACCTCGAACTCATTAAAACATGGTTAAACAACTGGCGCATTCTCGTAAATGAAAGCAAAAGCACACATGTAACATTTACCCTATGTAAGGACACATGTTCCCCAGTAACCTTTAACGGCATCACCATTCCACAATCAAACACCGTTTCGTATCTGGGTGTTCATTTGGATAGAAGACTAACTTGGCGCAAACATCTTGAGACTAAGTGAACGCAAATAAAACTAAAGGCCAAAAATTTCACTGGTTATTGAACAAAAATTCCAAGTTACAGCTAAATCACAAAGTGTTGCTCTATAATAGTTTACTTAAGCCAATTTGGAAGTATGGCGCTGAACTATGGGGTAATGCATGTTTCTCCAACATTAAGTTAATTCAGCGTACTCAATCCAAAATCCTTCGTTTAATTACCGGGGTTCCGTGGTATATAAAAAGTGATAAGATTCATGAAGATCTGAAAATACCACTAATCAAAAATGAACTCACTAAAATCAAATGTAAATACAAACAAAAACTTGAAATTCATCCGAACCACTTTGCAAGGCTTCTACTGCTAACGCGGCCTTCTTCAAGATTACGTAGAAAAGATGTACCAACGCACTGATTTCCTTTTTCTTTCTTTTATATATTTATTATCAACCTTATTTAAACTTTAATTTACTTTAATTTAATTTTTTTATTTTTTATTTTTTTTTATCCTTTTCTTTTCATGAAATAACTTGAAATTTAATTATTATCAATTAACTTCAATTATAATTGTCAGTTAATTTGTTTGCTTTAGTTTTTTAAGATTTGAATACTTATCGTAAATCTTCTTATAAAAGAGATTCAATAAATAATATAGATTTATTCAAAAAAGAAAAAAACTCTAAGAATGTGGCCCCAGATATGGTGTGTAAACTCCCACTACGAGCACCAGCTAAAAGTACTTTATCTGACGACATGGTCACGCCAGCTGGTAAGAAACCCAAACAATGCACCTTGATTT